CCCACAGGAAAGTGCATTTCCCCCAGAGGAAGTTGTGTTTCCCCCATACAAAGAAGGATTCTCCACTGGCAGATACATTCCTCCACAGGAAGATGGGTTTCCCCACAGGAAGGTGCGTTTCCCCCACAGGAAGATGCGTTTCCCCACAGGAAGATGGGTTTCCCCACAGGAAGGTGCATATGCCCCACAAGAAGAAGGGTACCCCTCAGGAAAGTGCAATTCCCCCACAGGAAGGTGCCTTTCCCCCAGAGGAAGGTGCGTTCCTCACAGGAACATGCGTTTCCTCCACAGGAAAGTGTGTTACTTCACAGGAAGGTGGGCTCCCTACAGGAAGGTGCGTATCCCTCACAGGAAGAAGCGTTCCCCCACAGGAAAGTGCATTTTCCCCTCAGGAAGGTGCGTTTCCCCCACAAGAAGATGTGTTCCCTCATAGGAAGGTGAGTTTCCCCCCACAGGATGATCAGTTCCCCCACAGGAAGTAGGTTTCCCACAGAGAAAAGTGCGTTTCCCCCACACGAAGATCGGTTCCCCCACTCGGAGGTGCATTTCCAGGACAGGAAGGTGCATATCCCCCACAGAAAGATGTGTTTCCTCCATAAGAAGAAGGGTTCTCCCACAGGAAGATGCATTCACCCCAGGAACAGGATTTTCCCCTAACTCCCATGTTGTGTTCCTTTATAGGAAGGTGCGTTTCTACAACAGCAAGGTGCGTTTCCCCCATAAGATGTGTCTTCTAAAAAAAGGTGCATTTCCTCCCGAAAAGAAGGGTTCCCCCACAGGAAGATGCGTTTCCTCGAGGAAGGTGCACATCCCCCATGGGAAGTTGCGTTTCCCTCATAGGAAGAAGGATTCTCCCACAGGAAGATGCATTCACCCCAGGAAGGTGGTGTCTCCCTAACCCCCAAGTTGTGTTCATAGGAAGGTGCGTTTCTCCAACAGCAAGGTGGGTTTCCCCACAGGAAGATGTGTACCCTCATAGGATGGTGCGTTTCCCCCCCAGAAAGAAGGGGTTCCCCACAGGAAGATACGTTACCCTGAGGAAGGTGCACATCCCCCATAGGAAGTTGTTTCCCCGTAGGAAGAAGGATATGCCCACAGAAAAGGTCATTTCCCCCACAGGAAGTTGTGTTTCCCCCATAGGAAGGATTCACCACTGGAAGATGCATTCCTCCACAGGAAGAGGGGTTTCTCCACAGTAAGATGGGTTTCCCTACAGGAAGGTGGGTTTTTCCCACAGGAAGAATGGTTCCCCCACAGGAAGAGTGGTTCCCCCACAGGAAAATGTGTTCCACAAAGAAGGTGCGTATCCCCCACAGAAAAGAGGGTTCCCCCATAGGAACGTGTATTTCCCTCATAGGAAGTTGCGTTTCCCCCACAGGAAAAAGTACTCTCCCATAGGAAGATGCATTTCTGCACAGAAAGATGGGTTTCCCCACAGGAAGATGGGTTTCCCTACAGGAAGGTGCATATCCCCCACAGGAAGGTGCGATTCCCCCACAGGAAAAAGGGTTTTCCCACAGGAAAATGCATTTCCCCACAGGAAGGTGCGTTCCCCACAAGAAAATGCGTTTCACCCATAGGAACATGCGTTTCTCCTACAGGACGAAGGTTTCCCCCCAGGAAGATGCATTCCCCCACAGAAAGATGTGTTTCCCCCATAGGAAGGAGGGTCTTCCCACAGGAAGATTCATTTAACCCCAGGAAGGTGCTTCCCCCTCTAACCCCCAAGTTGTGTTCCCTTTTAGGAAGATGTGTTTCTTTCACAGCAAGGTGGCTTCCCCACAGGAAGGCACATTTCCCCCATAGGAAGATGGGTTTCCCCACAGGAAGGTGTGTTTCCCCCACAGGAAGAAGCTTTCCCCTACAGGAAAAAGGGTTCCTCCACAGGAAGGTGGGTTTCCCCCACAGGAAGGTGCGTTCCCCACAGGAAGGTGCGTTTCCCCCACTGGAAGAAGTGTTCCCCCATAGGAAAAAGGGTATTCCCACAGGAAAATAAATTCTGCCCACAGGAAGGTGCCTTTCCCCCACAGGAAGGTGCCTTTCCCCCACAGGAATGTGTGTTCCCACAGGAAGACGCTCAACTACTATGTCACACCAGCCGGGCAAAAGCAGTGTCTGCTGGTAAGCAAAGTATAAAATGGGAGAGGAGGCAAGTGCACACACCCTCCTGCCATTCACACACACCAAGTCTCCTTAGCCCTCAACAGCCAGGGCCCCTTGAAGGAGAGGGGGGAATGGGGCGGACAGGCGCCCCTAGGTGCCATCTTCGCCCCCACTCGGCCTCTGGCCTCCCTGTCTCTGCCCCCGCCCTCTTGTTTCACACGCACCCCTAACCTGCAGACTCAGAGCGAGGCTCGCGGCAGGAGAACGAGGTACCAGCCAGCAGCGCCGGTTTGGAGGAAAGGCCGGCATCACAGTCCTTTCCTGTCTGCTCTTTGTGAACCCCTCACCCCAGCAGTTTCCCACGGGTTTCCAGGGAGAGAGGAAGAGAGAGAGAGAGAAAGGCCGATGTGAGAGGCGCACGGACCGGCCGCCTCCTGCAGGCACCCGGCCAGGGCCAGCGATCACGCCTGCACCCGCCGACGTGCCCTGGACGGGAACCGGACCTGCAGGTACCGGCTGACGCGCTCTCCCCCGGCCCGGGCCCTCGTCACCGTCCCTAAAGCAACTGCCACGGAAGTGAACCCCGACACATGCCCTTTGAGCTCGGGTTACGTCCGATGCACAGAAAAGGAAATGTGAATGACGGACACGTAAAAGGAAACATCCCACGGGAAAAACGGACCTCAGTGATGAGAGAGAATCATGGGCCGGCTGCCGCCTGCACGCCCCCGACTGGGGATCGAGCCCGCAACCCCGCCTGTGCCCTTGACTGGAATCGAACCCCTGACCTCCTGGTTCCTAGGTCAATGCTTTGCAGAAGGGGCGGGGCTTTGCGAGAGGGACTAAGTGGAGGGGCCTGGCTTGGCAGGAGGGGCGGGGCTTTGCATCCCCGGGGGCTCCGTGAGAGGCCTGATGGCCCCCTTGCTCTCCGCCGCCGCCCTCCCGGGCCCTTTAAATTGCATGAACCCATCCTGGCCGGTGTGGCCCAGTGGATAGAGCGTCGGCCTGCGGACTGAAGGGTCCCGGGTTCGACTCCGGTCAGGGGCACACGCCCGGGTTGCGGGCTCGATCCCCAGTGGATGTTTCTACCTCTTTATCCCTCGCATTTCCTTTCTGAAGTCCATGAAAATTTATTTAAAAAATAAATGATTTTTTTTTTTTTTACAAAGCAGCTGAAAATCAGGAGCATCTTGCCCAGGGCGCCCGGTCTTCCCCGTTGCACGCACCCCTGTCTCCGCAGGGAAGGGAGGAAACGGAGAATCCCGTCCCGGGAGCGCACCCTGGGGTGGGCCGTGTCCCCACTGGACCCTGGAGCCAGAAATGGGCGGCCAGCCCTCCAGGAGGCAACGTGCAGCCGCGGCCGGGGTGGCTCAGTGGATAGAGCGCCAGCGGCAGACTGAAGGGTCCCGGGTTCGATTCCAGCCCCGGGCGTGTACCCGGCTGCGGGCACATCCCCAGTGGGGGGCGTGCAGGAGGCGGCCGGTCCCTGACCCTCTCTCATCGCGGGTGCCCCTCTCCCTCCCTCGCCCGCTCCCTCCCTCTCGGAGATCCATGGCGAGTCTACAAATCCATGACGGGTGAGGGTCCGCCCGTGCCGGACCCGCCCGCACCCACCCGGCTGCCACGGGCCCGGGGCGCAGCTCCTCGGCCTCCACGGACTGAGGGCACCCCGGACCGGGCCCCGGCCACCGGGAGAGCCGCGCCCAGGCCCGGGCTCGGGGACCAGGGACCCCCACCCTCAGCTCGGAGCCCGCCACACGGACCCACGCAGGGCAGGCCCGTGCCAAGGGCCCCGCCGAAAACCTGGCATCTGCACCCAAACGGGCGTCTCCGGGGCCGAAGGAGCGTGCCCACCCAAGGCCCGGCGCCGCCCGAGGAGAATGGCTGCGGCGGCGGCCGGGGACGCAGGGAAGGTCGGTGAGCACGCCGTGTCCATCCCATCGCCCGGACCCCAGCAGCAAGCTCACCTACCGGTGGGAGCCTCTGCCCCCTGGTGGTCAGTGCACGTCACAGCGACCGGCCGGCCGGTCGACCGTCTGCCCCCTGGTGGTCAGTGCACGTCACAGCGACCGGCCGACCGGTCGACGGTCTGCCCCCTGGTGGTCAGTGCACGTCACAGCGACCGGCCGACCGGTCGACCGTCTGCCCCCTGGTGGTCAGTGCACGTCACAGCGACCGGCCGACCGGTCCACGGTCTGCCCCCTGGTGGTCAGCGCACGTCACAGCGACCGGCCGACCGGTCGACGGTCTGCCCCCTGGTGGTCAGCGCACGTCACAGCGACCGGCCGACCGGTCGACGGTCTGCCCCCTGGTGGTCAGCGCACGTCACAGCGACCGGCCGACCGGTGGACTGTCTGCCCCCTGGTGGTCAGTGCACGTCACAGCGAGCGGATGAGCGGCCTTAGCAGATCATTAGCATATTACGCTTTGATTGGTTGAACAGCCGACCAGATGACTGGATGATCGGACGACCAGACATTTAGCATATTGGGCTTTTGTTACGCAGATTATATTCATTGATTTCACAGAGAGGAAGGGAGAGGGAGAGAGAGGGAAGCATCAATGACGAGAATCACGGATCGGCCGCCTCCTGCACGCCCCCCACTGGGAATGGAGCCCGCAACCCGGGCCTGTGCCCTGACCAGGAGTCCGACCGGGAGTCCGACCCTGACCTCCTGGTTCACAGGTCGACACTCAGCCCCTGAGCCCCGCCGGCCGGGCAGCGTCTCCAGTCTCCCCGAAGCTTCGGCCTTCCAGGCGCCAGCGCCCATCTCCCCCCACCGCCCTCACCAAGCCAACGCCGCCTCCACCCGCCCCGCCCGTGCGGCACCAATGACCTTCCCACCCGGGAACACGAAGAGGCGACGGCACACGCGCTACCCACCCGGCCACCCCTTCACCGCGTCACTCACCAGAGCCGAAGGCGGGCGGGCCCCGGCCCCGTCCCCGTCCTGGGCGTGCGTGCCGGCTGCCGGCTGCCGTCCGTCACCTGTCGGCGAGAAACACCCCGAGTGAGAACGCGGGTCCCATCGCATCCCCTCACTTATTTCGTTTTCCTCCTCGTTGTGTGTCTGTCGGTTGGTTAACCCACCCCCGACGGTATTTCCCCGTTGGCTTTTAGGGACAGTGGCCGAGAGGCGGACGGACAGAGTGTCTGGGTGCCCGCGGGGCCCCCGGGCTGTGGTCCCATCGGATCACCAGGAGCCAGTCCATGCTCAGAGCCCAGGGCGCGGCGGGCACCTGACGGGTGAGCGTTTAAAACGAACCCGCAGCCCTGGCCGGGGTGGCTCAGTGGGTAGAGCACCGGCCTGCGGACCACAGGGTCCCGGGTTCGATTCCCGGCCAAGGGCACAGGAGGCAGCTGACCAGTGATGTAACCAAGGGAGAAAGCGTGAGCTACTTAAATCATGTATTACGGGGCGGACCGGCCAGCACCCCACGCCCGTGGGAGCGGCCAGGCCACGGCCCAGAAATGCGCGCTGATGGGTCCGAGTGTGTCCCAAAACTGCAGGCGGTGAAGCCGTCACAACTCAAAACTGACTTGAGAATCACGGACCGGCCGCCTCCTGCCCGCCCCCCCACTGGGGATCGAGCCCGCCACCCGGGCCTGGGCCCGTGACCGGGAATCGAACCCGGGACCCTTCAGTCCGCAGGCCGACGCTCTACCCACTGAACCACCCCGGCCAGGGCCAGACACGAGGGATTTTCAATGAAGGCGCATTCCCTCTGAACGGCGAAAGCATCGCTGCACAGCTCCAGCCGGGAAGAGGCCCCCGGAACGGCCCTTCGGACGCAAATCCCACCCGAACAGTAGACGTCACCGCGTCGTCGTATTTGCCCGTCACGTGAGGTGTAGCCGGTGGGAGGAAAACAAACACGTAAGACGTCTCCTGCGAAAGGCCCCCCGGAATCCGGAGGACGGGGTTCCCTCCACCAGCTCAGGCCGGGGGCAGCAAGCAGGTGTCCAGCCCCAGGGGAGGGGACCAGGAAACCCAGTTTTAAATCCGCCGTCACCGCAGGTGACAAAGGCCGCGAGGGTGGCAGGGGAAGGAGTTCCTAACGGGCAGCGAGAGGAGACGGAATTCATGCACGTGGGTCTCAGCTCCTCTGAGCCAACCGGCTCTTCGTAAAAATCCTATTCGGTAAAAGCCTAACATGCAAATCAGCCGAACGGCGAAAACGACCGGTCGCGATGACGCACACTGACCACCAGGGGGCGGACGCTCAACGCAGGAGCTGCCCCATCCCGCAGGCCGCCCACCCCCCCACCCCGACTGCCCCCCACAGATCGGCCCTGATCTCCAGCCCTACCCTGCATGAATTTCGTGCACTAGTGCATATATATATATATATATATTTTTTATTTATTTCAGGAAGGGAGAGAGAGAGAGAGAGGAACATCCATGATGGGAGAGAATCACGGACCGGCTGCCTCCTGCACGCCCCCGACTGGCGACCGAGCCCGCGACCGGGGCAGGTGCCCTTGACTGGAGCCGGAATCGAACCCGGGTCCCTTCAGCCCGCCGGTCGACGCTCGATCCACGGAGCCAAACGGCGAGGGCGTGAGTAAACCCTTCTGCTTCGGACTGAGCCACGTTATAAAAAACCGCAGTTCTGGGGGCGCGGACTGCCCTCGCTTCCTTCAGAGAACAGGGCGGGTCTGGCCGCGACGGGCACCGGTGGGACCAGCGGCGAGGACAGAACGAAAATCCGCATTTCTCACTGAGAAGGAGGAGGCCGCAGGCGGGAGCCGAGGGGCCGGCCCCTGGCCTCCTGCCCCTTGGGGGCCACCCCCCTCGCCCGGGGGACGGAGTTAAACCCGGCTGCGGCCCCAGCCAGTTAGGCTCAGTGGACAGAGCGTCAGCCTGCGGACTGAAGGGTCCCGGGTTCGATTCCGGCCAAGGGCGGCTGCAAGTTCAATCCCTGGCCCTGCTCGGTGCGTGCAGGAGGCGGCCAGTCGATGTGTCTCTGTCCTGTGACAGTGGACGCCCGACACCCAGCTCACCAGCGGGCACAGAGCTCACCAGCGGACACTCAGCTCACCAGCGGGCACACAGCTCACCAGTGGACACACAGCTCACCAGCGGGCCCCCAGCTCACCAGGGACACACAGCTCACCAGCGGGCCCCCAGCTCACCAGCGGGCACACAGCTCACCAGAGGACACACAGCTCACCAGGGACACACAGCTCACCAGAGGACACACAGCTCACCAGAGGACACACAGCTCACCAGCGGGCCCCCAGCTCACCAGCGGGCACACAGCTCACCAGCGGGCCCCCAGCTCACCAGCGGGCACACAGCTCACCAGCGGGCCCCCAGCTCACCAGCGGGCACACAGCTCACCAGCGGGAACACAGCTCACCAGGGACACACAGCTCACCAGGGACACACAGCTCACCAGCGGGCCCCCAGCTCACCAGCGGGCACACCGCTCACCAGCGCGCACACAGCTCACCAGCGGACACACAGCTCACCAGCGGGCACACAGCTCACCAGCGGGCCCCCAGCTCACCAGCGGGCCCCCAGCTCACCAGAGGACACACAGCTCACCAGCGGGCCCCCAGCTCACCAGCGGGCACACAGCTCACCAGCGGGCCCCCAGCTCACCAGCGGGCACACAGCTCACCAGCGGGCCCCCAGCTCACCAGCGGGCACACAGCTCACCAGGGACACACAGCTCACCAGGGACACACAGCTCACCAGCGGGCCCCCAGCTCACCAGCGGACAAACAGCTCACCAGCGGGCCCCCAGCTCACCAGCGGGCCCCCAGCTCACCAGCGGACACACAGCTCACCAGCGGGCACACAGCTCACCAGCAGACACAAGGCTCATCAGCGGGCACACAGCTCACCAGCGGACAGACAGCTCACCAGCGGGCACACAGCTCACCAGCGGACACACAGCTCACCAGCGGGCAGACAGCTCACCAGCGGGCACACAGCTCACCAGCGGACACACAGCTCACCAGCGGACACCCAGCTCACCAGCGGGCACACAGCTCACCAGCGGACACACAGCTCTCCAGCGGGCACACAGCTCACCAGCGGACACACAGCTCACCAGCGGACACCCAGCTCACCAGCGGGCCCCCAGCTCACCAGCGGGCTGACAGCTCACCAGCGGGCCCCCAGTTCACCAACGGGCCCCCAGCTCACCAGCGGGCACCCAGCTCACCAGCGGGCCCCCAGCTCACCAGCGGACACACAGCTCACCAGCGGGCCCCCAGCTCACCAGCGGACACACAGCTCACCAGCGGGCCCCCAGCTCACCAGTGGACACACAGCTCACCAGCGGGCCCCCAGCTCACCAGCGGACACACAGCTCACCAGCGGGCACACAGCTCACCAGTGGGCACACAGCTCACCAGCGGGCCCCCAGCTCACCAGCAGGCCCCCAGCTCACCAGCAGACACACAGCTCACCAGCGGGCCCCCAGCTCACCAGCGGACACACAGCTCACCAGCGGGCACACAGCTCACCAGTGGGCACACAGCTCACCAGCGGACACACAGCTCACCAGCGGACACACAGCTCACCAGCGGGCACACAGCTCACCAGCGGGCACACAGCTCACCAGCAGACACACAGCTCACCAGCGGACACACAGCTCACCAGCGGGCAGATATCTCACCAGCGGGCACACAACTCACCAGCAGACACAAGGCTCATCAGCGGGCACACAGCTCACCAGCGGGCAGACAGCTCACCAGCGGGCAGACAGCTCACCAGCGGACACACAGCTCACCAGCGGGCAGACAGCTCACCCGCGGGCACACAGCTCACCAGCGGGCACACAGCTCACCAGCGGGCACCCAGCTCACCAGCGGGCCCCCAGCTCACCAGCAGGCACACAGCTCACCAGCGGACACCCAGCTCACCAGCGGGCACACAGCTCACCAGCGGGCACACAGCTCACCAGCGGGCCCCCAGCTCAGCAGCGGACACACAGCTCACCAGCGGGCACACAGCTCACCAGCGGGCACACAGCTCACCAGCGGGCAGACAGCTCACCAGCGGACACACAGCTCACCAGCGGGCACACAGCTCACCAGCGGACACACAGTTCACCAGCGGGCACACAGCTCACCAGCGGGCACCCAGCTCACCAGCGGACACACAGCTCACCAGCGGACACACAGCTCACCAGCGGATACACAGCTCACCAGCGGATACACAGCTCACCAGCGGGCCCCCAGCTCACCAGCGGGCCCCCAGCTCACCAGCAGAAACACAGCTCACCAGTGGGCACACAGCTCACCAGCGGGCAGACAGCTCACCAGCGGACACACAGCTCACCAGCGGGCACACAGCTCACCAGCGGGCCCCCAGCTCACCAGCGGGCCCCCAGCTCACCAGCGGACACACAGCTCACCAGCGGACACACAGCTCACCAGCGGGCACACAGCTCACCAGCGGGCCCCCAGCTCACCAGCGGGCCCCCAGCTCACCAGCGGGCCCCCAGCTCACCAGAGGACACACAGCTCACCAGCGGGCCCCCAGCTCACTAGAGGACACACAGCTCACCAGCGGGCACACAGCTCACCAGCGGGCACACAGCTCACCAGCGGGCACAAAGCTCACCAGCCCCGTCCCCGCTTCTCACCATAAAGCTGGGACGTGCCTCACGGGTGCCCTGCACGCACACCCACTCTCGGTCACACGCGGGGCGAGGCGTGGGGAGAGGACACTCAGAGAAGCCAGAGCAGAAACCGGGGGCAGACGCAGCAGGCACCGCCTGCCGCCCTGGAGTCCCCGTGGGACCCGCCCCGGGCCACGGCCGGCCCCTGGCTGGCTCCTCAATGAGCTAATTTTAGGTCCTGTCCGCGGCCAGCGGCGACCGGCCCGGCGGGCTCCCGCCCCCTCCCTGTGCTGGCAGCTCTGCAACTGGGTCAGCAGGGAAAGTGCCCTGGGCGGTCGGCTCGGTGCCGCCCGAAGCCTAGCTCGCCCCGGCCGGTGTTGCTCAGTGGTTAGCACGCCGGCCTGTGGA